TGTGATTGAACTGACTTGACAAAATTTGCGACAGTCTTTTATACCGTAAAAATGTAAACATTCACTCAGTCACTGTTCGGTTTTTAGATAACTGAAAATTATGCAACGGTCTGCACGAATTTGTGTGATTGAAAGAGAGTGTGCGAAAGCTCAAAATTTTATGTAAGTGCCGACAGACTAAATTTCAATTAAAAATTTTTAAAACGTGGCCTTGTGTTCAGATTATTAGTATTGAATGAAATGACATTTTTTTCAAATTTTTTTTTTATTTTGTTAGGAGTAAAAATAGTAAAAGATTAGTTAAAACGTTAAATATTCTAAATTAAGAATAATTAAAACATAATGAAATGGAATAATTTAGTTGTAATCAATTTTTAATTTGCTTCAATCAGCTCTTAATGTTTTTCTTTTCATACTTTTAATTTTTGTTCTGGGCTAAAAACTGTGTTTTATGATTTTTTTGAGAGCTTTATGACCATTGTCTTAAAGAAAGAAAAAAATATTTTTTTATTTTTATAAATATATATTATGCATTCTATTTTGTCTCACTTTGTTTTTTGTTTTTATTTTACTTACCTTTTGTTTATTTATACACATTTCACCATTACACTTGTGTACATATTGCAATGCTTTTATGCGACATGTTTTATGATTTATTTGATCTGTCAGTATTTGAATTTCAGTTTGATTTAAACAAAACTGCTGCTTTGACCAGGTTTTAAATCCTGCTGGAAGCAGGACCTTATGTCACTGCGCCACTACGTCTTCAGGCATTGACTCTATTCTGATCCATTGTATTCATTTAAGCAAGAAAATTTTAAAAATATTTGTTTTTGCGTTTCTACAACGTTTCATGCACCTTTCTGAGTTTCTTAAATCTGTAGTTCTATTTTGAAGTTTTTAATTTTATCGACTTTTGTCAATATTTATTTGAGCCATTTTTGGTACCTGTAACGGATATCAGCTATCTTATATTTGGTACTGTTGGAAAGCACTTTTAATTTTCTTTCCTATAAAAAAAGATTTTTGTTTTGCGGTAAATAGTTAATGAGAAAATCGTTGGGAAAAGCAAAAACAGTCAAAATATTATTTTAACAATAACTTCTAAACTGTTAAGAATTTTGCGGTATTTCAAAGCCACTCGATTCCTCAAAACATTTTACATAGTACAAAACGTAACTGTTTTCAATGCACTTACAGCGGAATTAGCAAAATAAAATGATGAAAAGTTTTGGGCATCCCCTCATACAAAAATGGCTTTTTCTAATTAACAGTATGTTATAATCATTCATATTTAAGACAGAGTTTACAAGATTTATTTAGATTTATATCATTATTTTTTATAATAGCCTATTTTGCTTGTAATTTGCAATTTTGTAAATTACGAGATACTCGTAATTCGAAGTTATCAAAAAATATGTTAATATTTTATTTTATTACTCGATTGAAACTTAGCAAGCCGTTTGAATGGTAATGAGTTTTCAATAAAAAATATATATATTTTATCATTTTATTAAAAAAATAATTCTATTTTATTACAAAAATAAATAACATTGTGGTATTATGGCATCGAAAGTCTTCATTTAGTGGTGAGAGTGTTGTGGATGGGCAGCATGTCCTTGTC